CGAGTTAGAACAGCTTCATGAAGTGTTTTAAACCTTGCATTGTCTGTTGGGAATGATCCCAAAGAAATCTAAATCTAAATCTCTAACTCTAGCAAGGGAATGTTGTTGCCATCTAAATCCAAAGGGAGCATATTCTCTAACTCTAGCAAGGGAATGTTGTTGCATGGGGAAAGTCTAACTCAAATGGCCATTAGGAACTACAGAAGAGGGATGAATTTTATATTTGAAACCTGGAGGTCCTGCTGTAGTTGTTGAGGTACCAAGGAGCCATAGTGCATCTGTCCACCATACCTGCTGTGAAAACCTCCTTAATGATTGTGTTTAGAAGGCTATAAAAAAGGAATGATAGATTAAAAGTTTTTTTGCATATTTCATTATCCTCTTCCTTTTCTCTCATAATTCAGTCACTAAATAGTACAAGCCAATTTCCCATTGCATCTAAGACTGCACTAGTGACATGTGCAAAGCCAGCTAACCTATTCAATACCTTTAGTATCTACGTTCTTTGGGGGTATTACCTCTATTTAGAAGTTCAGGATCATGAGTTTGAATTTGTCTCACGATCAGCATGTTTCTCCATAGTTTCTAAAACATATCACTATCACTTTCTTTATCATTTTTCCGCAAAAGACTTTCAGGAGCCAAAAAACCCAGCCAATTACAATTATGTCAGCATACTGTCCCTTTGATTCAGCGTGAAGGCAGGATATTTCATTCAGATATGGGACACTGAAAAAGTTAATACAAGAGTCAAATTTTATAGAAAAACAAGAGCATATAAAAGCATGCCAAAGAAATGGAGGAGCTTGGCCAGAAAATTTCAAGTATTTCTGTGACAGAAAACCAGAGCATAGTCTTACATTATTGTTTAATAAAGTAGATACCAACCTTTTTCAAGTCACAGCCCCCTTTAATAAAAGCTGATGTGGCCTGAATCTAAATGTTCTACATGACAGGCACAAACAATTTACCTAAAGATTTAAATCTTCACTTACTTCATTCTTCTAGGTGACAACACAACATTCCAAAAATTTTGTCCCCGCTGGAATTTTTGTTCATTTTCTTGCATTTGGGACTTTTTTGGGGGGACCCACTAAAAAGTCTTTTGCAGCAGAAGCTTCAGATTTAAATATTTTTACACCTTGCCAACAAAAGTCCGAATAATCAAAGCTATGGTTTTTCCTGTAGTGTTGTATGGAAGTGAGAGCTGGACCATAAAGAAAGCTGACCGCCGAAGAATTGATGCCTTTGAATTGTGGTGCTGGAGGAGACTCTTGAGAGTACCCTGGACTGCAAAGAGAACAAACCTATCAATTCTAAAGGAAATCAACCCCGAGTGCTCATTGAAAGGACAGATCCTGAAGCTGAGGCTCCAGTACTTTGGCCATCTCATGAGAAGAGAAGACTCCTTGGAAAAGACTTTGATATTGGGAAAGTGTGAAGGCAAGAGGAGAAGGGGACGACCGAGGATGAGATGGTTGGACAGTGTCATCGAAGCAACCAACATGAATTTGACACAACTCCGGGAGGCGGTGGAGGATAGGAGGGCCTGGCGTGCTCTGGTCCATGGGGTCACGAAGAGTCGGACACGACTAAACGACTGAACAAACAAACACAAAATAAAAGGATTTTGTGCAAAAAACATTATTTGGTAAGAATGGTGATGCTGATGGAAAAAAGCTCTTAAATTGTGCTGAAATAGTAATATTTGCAAGTAAATGTTCTTAGTTTGGAATGTTAACAAATTCACTAGGCACTGCAATTATACTAAAGAATACACACCAATCAACACCTCACAGTTTAATACTTTTAATATTTCTGGCTATAAGCCCTCATTGTGAGAAACTCAACTACTGAACTGTGAACTTTTTGAACTATGTTTTCAGTAAGTTGACAAAAACCATCTGCTGCTAATTGAGGGAGCAGAGCAAACTCGGGGATTAAGACAACCCTGGTACAAGGATCCACTGGAGCAAGCTGATTCCACACCTGTCCACTAGTGATGGAAGACCCACTAAGTGTACTGTAAGTAAAAGCATTCCATTCTTCACAATAAGTGATAAAGACCATATATCTAGGGGGAAACAAAGAAGCATCAGCTAGCAACCTGCCCAAAAATAATATAAAAAGAGGGGTCCGGGCAACCATAATTTGTCTACTGAGACCAAAAGGCTTTTGGAACCAACTACTTTCTTTGGAACTTGGATGATGCAAATAAAGAATTCTTCTCTCTTTGGTGAGTATGTGTGTGGTGTGAATGTGTTGAATGCATGAAACCCCTTTTGTTAGAATTGTAATCAATAAGTAATAAAGTACTGTATATTCATTTTGCATTTATTAATGTGTCTTGTGAGGTCCTTTGCTGTTTAATATATATATGGTATCGTTCTTCTTGGGATACAAAAGATCTAGTACTGTAGTCACCTTTTTGTGACATACTGCATACTGTTGGGAACAATGTTATTGTATTTAATACTGTAGTGCACATATACTTTACATTGCTCCAGAACATGGTTTTCCTCTCCTAATAAGGCAATATACAGTTATTTTATAATATACTACATCTATTTGGATGTACGTAGTACAAAAATAATCTCAGAGGCATGTATACACTTAGTAGTAAACATCAGTGGACTCAGTAAGGATTACTGTTGAACAGAAAAAACAGACAATACAGAACAGCAATGACAACACCTATCAGAGTGTACTATCCTTTAAGTATATACTCAGTCCTTACCAAAATTAATTTAGGCTCAAACAAATTCAACTCTCCTGTCTTTTTCTCGACTGTTTCTCTGTTTACAGCCTCAAAAATCTGTCTTATAGAAGTCTCCCAGTTCTCTGAAGCTAAGATGAGGAGGGAATGGGATTTTCAGGAAGAGGAGGAATCTATTCTGCTGCTGGTTGTCATTCTGTCACTAGGCCCTAAACAAGAACAGAACTCTGCTCAAATGCTTTTGTATACCCTGTTTCCCCGAAAATAAGCCCTAACCTGAAAATAAGCCCTAGTATGAATTTTCAGGATGCTCGTAATATAAGCCCTACCCCAAAAATAAGCTCTAGTTAAGTGAAACCCTGCCCTACATCATTGTGCAGCATTACACATGACGATACTTCAGATCAGTCAAATGAATTTGGTAAAATATTATCCTTTCTCAAGTGAAATGTTGGCTTCTCTTCATTATGGGAATTCCTATTAATCTTTTCAAAATCTTTCAAAAGCTATTTAACTTATCTCCCAAGGCTGAAACATAATAAATCCTTGGTTAACAGCATTTTAAAAGACTGTCAGAACAATTCTCTGATGTTGTTAACAACGCCACAATCCAAGCAAACTGGTTTTATTATGTTCAATGAAATAATAAATAAGCAGCGGCACCTTATTAAAAAATGTATAGTTTACCTAAGAAATATTTTGCTGCAAATTCAAGAATTACAGGAGGAAGAAGCCTCTTGAATCAGCTTATGGGCTACAATTAATTCAACAACTGCAAACTCAAGATTAAAGAGAGACTGATTTTTCTGCCAGGCTTGACAAAGTAATTTTTCAGTTTGTTGGAATAAGTAAATTTTAACTTTTTAAGAAGTACATTCTTTGTTCATGTACAAGAGGAACAACGAATTATATCTGCATTTATATAAAATAATAATAAAAAAATTAAAACAAAACAATTCCTACTTCTGTCCCAAGGCTCCCATGTAATTTCTTTCATCATGTGGAAGGTGTGGGAGATACAGAATGAGAAAAGGAAATCTTAAATTACTGAAAGTCGTCACTGCTGATAATATCATCCCAACTGTGATGATGTTCAGTAACTAAAAACTTTCTCCTTTTGTCCCGTGGTTTCCACAGCTTCCAGATGATGGAAAAGATTACATTGATGTAGGAAGAATTTTTATTTCCAAAACCTGCTACATGCTTCTGACATCATCATTCTTCCGCAGCTGTAGTTACACCAAGAGGATTTCAGCCACTGTGTGGAAAATATCTTCTGCAATAATTTCTTAGATACTTTAAATCAGGGGTTTTAAACTCAATTTACCTGGGGGCCGCTAGAGGCAGAGTCTGGGTGAGGCTGGGCCGCATCAGATTTTCCGCCAAGCGGAGCAAGAGCCCGAGGAAGCCGCCCAGGAGTTTCCTTAGCTGACAGACAGGTGGGCTGGCTGGCAGGCTGCAGTTCTGGATGGAGGGTGCAAGAGGTGCTCTCTTGAGAGAGAGCCGGCGAGCGAGGCAAGGCTTTTTTTTACTCTTGACAGCAGAGGATGTGTGGGCACTTTGGGGGGGCAGGCAAGGCGAGGGCCACAAACTATCATCTGGGGGGCCGCAAATGGCCCCCGGGCTGCATGTTTGAGACCCCTGCTTTAAATAAACAAATACAACTGCAATCAGTAGATGCTTACATTATTGGATGCTTTATGAAAACAAAGTATTTTTTCCAACTTTGTTGCCTCAGGTTAAACTGCCTAAGTAGTGTCTTCAGCACTATATTCATAGATTATAACAAAACAGATGGCGTTCCTTGGAAAATCATTTAACAATAAGCAATATGCAATAAGCAAACTGGTGGAATTCATCACAAAACAAAGAGAGATAGCTGCTTTCAATGACAGTCAACAGTTCCTTTACTCAATGCCTCTATATACAATGTTACATTTTCAACAATATCAGTCCCTGGCCTCATGCAAACTAAAATATTTTGGGGAGTTTTCTAACATCAGAGTCATGATAATCAGAACAGTGTTTAAGCAATGAGAAACAGATGCATTAAATGTTCTTGCACTTTTTATGAATTAAGCTTATAAGAGTTTCTACTATTGATACCCTGGAACTGTCAGTAAACAACAAATGCTTTGATTCTTCTCCATGTTATCCTGAATAAGAAAAATTTCCTGTGGTAAGCCACAGAGAAACTCTTATTCAAAGACTGCACACAAGCTCACATAACTAGGGCAGTTAAATCACTTTGAAATAATCTACAATTTCATTTTCAAAAACATACCTATTCCTCTCTAGGGTCAGATTTGGGGGAAAAAATAGTTCCGCCAGTTTACAGTAGAAGCCAGTGGTGTGCAATTCTCATTGGCTGGCACCTGTGACATCACAATCCTGCAACAGAGCCAGTTTTAAACTTTTTAAGGCTATACAAAACCCACCAACCAATTTCAAGTAGCTGCAGAAAATTACTTCTGAAGCACTAAAGGTAGAAGGAAAGCTGAACAGGACTGACAGGTCACTCAGCACTGAAATTGCTAGCACGTTTACCTGTCAATTGCATTATGAAAGATATAGGTTGGGTAACTGGGCACCATGCAGGGAAAAAGCTGCTATATATATGTGTGTGTGTGCAAAACATACCTTTCTTTCAGATTCAAAAGTCAGCATTTTTCCTTTTATATATACTCTTCAAATCAAAAAAACATTTCTACAACGAGTGGGCATTACCATTGGTATAAACAGTGGTGCCCCGCGAGACGATTGCCTCGCAGGATGAAAACCTCGCTGGACGATTGGGTCTGGCAAGGACTTTGGTGCCTCACAAGACAATTTTTCCTATGGCCCTGTTTCGCAAGATGAAACCCCTGGAGGCTTCTGAAAGTAGTGCTTTGCCTGCGGGGTGGGGGGTGGGCCTGCCCCTGCCAATTCAGGTTGAGTTCAGTGCTGAGAAACTGAGCTTCACAGTTCCAATTTGTACGGTCTATCAGTGCTTTGATTATGCCTCTTTTTTGCTGTGGGTGGTTGTTGGAGTTTTTGTGTAAGTACCTGTATGTGTGGGTGGGTTTTCTGTAGACCTTGTGTTCCAGTTGGAGGTCAGTTTTGCGTATGACCATCTGAATTGGGCCCTACAGGCAAATGGCTACTACAAAAATGAAACCACAAGAGCCATCAAACCAAGAAAACAACACCGAACTGAAGAAGAAAAACAGCCACCCACAAATAAAGTATTTCTGCCATACATCAAAGGGGTCACGGGCCGCATGGGGAAACTTTTGAAAAAACACAACCTACAAACAGTATTCAAGCCCACCACAAAAATACAACAAATGTTACGGTCAGCAAAGGACAGAAGGGACTCCCTCACCACTGCAGGAGTATACTGGATACCTTGCAGTTGTGGCCAGGTATATACTGGAACCACAAAATGAAGCATCCACACCAGAATCAAAGAACATGAGAGACACTGCAGACTAAAACAACCAGAAAAATCTGCAGTAGCTGAACATGCCCTAAAACAAGCTGCACATGAAATTCTATTTCAAAATAACGAAATACTGGACAACACCAGCAATCACTACGTCAGACTGCACAGGGAAGCCATTGAAATCCACAAGCACCAACAGAACTTCAACAAAAAAAGAGGAAAGTTTGAAACTCAACAAAACTTGGCTCCCAGCTCTCAAAAATACAGTGTGCAAAAAGTCAACGAACTCTACCCAGCCACAAGGACCGGGGATCACTACACACAAAAGACCAGCTAATGACACCCATCAATCACAGTGACAGATAATCTCTCCTCTTTATCACAACAATACACCCACAAGATACACTAATTACCCATCTCCAGAAAAGGACAAAAGCCTATCTCACAGCCAAAAAATACTCCACTCCCAAGCCAACTACACCAGAACACAAGAGTGCTGTCCTCTGAAGATGCCGGCCACAGAGACTGGCGAAACATTAGGAAAAACAACCTTCAGAACACGGCCAAAAGCCCGAAAAACCCACACCAACCGTTAGATCCTGGCTGTGAAAGCCTTCGTGAATACAGGAGATTGCAGTCTTTGAGATAGATTGGACCCAAGCTTTATAGGTTAAAACCAACAGTTCAAAATGTGTCCAGAAACAGACTGGCAGCCAGTGTAGCCGCTGTAACAGGGATGGTGGTATTATCTGATCCCAGTACTCAGCCTCAGTTAACAACATGGCTGTAGCATTTTGGACTCACTGAAGTTTCTGAACACTTTCCAAAAGCAGCCTTACACAGAGTGTGTTACAGTAATCCAGCTGGGATGTGCGTAGCTATGGCATGTGTCGCCATGGCCAAATAAGACCTCTCCAGAAATGGACACAGCTGGCGCACTAAGCTACGCAGATTATTGTCCCGCTGCTACTTTTCATAGCAACTGTCAAGTCCTAAACAAGGGTTCCATGTTTGATGAGTGTCCCCTTCAATGCGGTATGAAGCTGATGACAACTGAACTCAACCTGCTTTCACATTAAGAACAGTACTTGTCACGAAAGCTTAACAAAAGCTTAACAAAATGTTAAAAACAAATTCCTATACCTCTTGGGGCAGGAACTATGGAAAGCACAAGTGGTTATTATCCCAAGATGTATAAACCCCAATCCTAAACATTTTTACCTAAAAGTAATAGATTATATGATTTTATGTTGACTCTCCCAATCCTAAACATTTTTACCTAAAATTAACTCTTAGCAAGTTACAATGTAATAGATTATATGATTTTATGTTGACTCTGTGCTTTATTAATAAGTATAGTAGTGCCCCGCATGACGATAATTTGTTCCAGGAAAATTGCTGTTAAGTGAAATCGTCATCATGTGAATAACAATTCCCCATTGGAATGCACTGAAACCCATTTAATGCGTTCCAATGCGGAAATTACCTCGTTGTCCAGCGAAGACTGCCCATAGGGGAAGCCATTTTCTGAGTGCCGATCAGCTGTTAAAATGGCTGCCTTGCAAAGCATGGGTCCGGAAAACACAGGGCAGCCATTTTGCGGAGCCGGAAAAAATCGTTTTGCGAACAAACGGTTCACGAAGCAAGGACCTAATCATCGTCAAACGAAAATCCCCCATAGGAAACATCATTTTGTGATCGCTATAGCGATCAAAAAAAGTAATCATCATGCGATTTCGTCGTTCTGTGGGGTTGTCGTCATGCGGGGCACCGCTGTATACTTAGGGGGTTAACCTAAAGTATTCCAGACAGACAGAGAGAGAGATAGATTTAAAAGCATATAAATGAAGCCACCAAGAAGTTTGGTAACTTAAAGAGAAATATGTAGTATTGAAACTATAATGCAGGAAGCAAGAAAAATATATTGTGGAAATAAGATGAAATGAAACAAAATTGTTGTTTTAATAAGATAAGCTTAGTCTCCAAGGTAGGAGAAAATTTCCAAGGAGAAGGCAGTTGTGTTAGTCTGTTACAGAAGGCTTCTGGGAGTTGTAGTCCAAGAACATCTGGGTTACTCAAGGTTGGGAATCATCACCTCAGATTAGTAATATGTATGATTATTATTACCAGTATTTCCTATTTATATATTTCTTATATAAATATGAAGCTATTTTAAAGAACAGAGTAGAGCTGGCCAAGCATTAGGGATATGCATAGCAAAATCTTTCATTTTTCTTTCATTTCAGGTTCCTGGGGGGTGCCTCTTTCCTTTTATGTCTTTTGTGTACTGGTCTTTTTGCTAACCAGAGAAGGAACCACCTGTTTTGGGCTCTTTTATTTAGTTTCTGGCACTTCTATCCTTACAAATGACTTTTTAAAAAAAGGCAAGGGAAGGCAGGCAACAGAGAATCAAATTGGGAAAGCCATAAAGAATCCTTAAAAACTTCTAAGAACCATAGAGGCAGGACTACAGAGAATCAATCCAAAACGCTAAGGGACTCTTTACTCCAAAAAGCAGGCAACATTACATGAGAAAGAAAAAATAGTCAGACTTGCCAAAATATACACCTTTAACAGAATGCATGCACAATAAATTAGCCAAATAGCAATTTAAAAAAGAATCAGTCTAACATGAAAAGCACTCACCCACATATAGGAAAAAAGTAAAATAAAATGAAAACCATGAAAAAAACACATGCACACAGTTCCCTCTCCCAAAAACCAAGAAATGCAAGAAAATAAAGACCAAAAAAATGCAATCAAATTCACCACCACCACCAAAACGACTAGAATATTAGGAGATTTCTTTCCCCCTATATCTTCTCTTCTGATACCAGTAGTAAAGCATGAAGGAAAAAGCAGCAGAATTCAAGAGGGAGGGCACCAGGAATTAGTTGGCCAGCTCACAGTTTCCCACAAGAAGGACTACAGATTCAATATCCCCACTCCCTAATTCCTGGATATTCTGACTGGCTGCTGAAAGCAACCCTTGCAATGCTGTTGGATGAAAATTTTCTTGGATGATCTTTAAAAGGTAAAAGAAAGAAGAAACAGAAGAGCACAAAACTTTTCTGTACCTCTCTTTAATTTACATGAATTGTGTTTAAGAGGGTTTTTCAGAAACCAATGAAAGAACATAAAAACAAAGATATCTTCTTTTGTGTTTTTTAAATTCAAACCAAATAACAGAAGTGTGCTGTACCCTATGTTATATGTATCTATGTGACAAACTTCACAAATTCATTCGGTTATCACCGAAGGTGTCTTTCTGCTAGCAGAACAGGCACTGCTGGAGGACTGAATTGCTGCCATCCTCTTACGTGTTCCTCAAATGTACTCTGGAAGATTTGAGGACATAATAGAACAGATAGCAGGAATGTGCAGGGGTCTTGAAGAGGAAAGACTAAAAGGGAAACTCAATGGCCTACAGAGAACAAAAAAGCTTACTCCAGTTAAAACTTTTTCATCTTTTTCACTACAACAGGCCACAAACTAACATACCTTGACCCTCTGGATAGGTCTAGAGTTGTGTGAGTGGATTTGTCTACTTCCTAAATCCAAAAATGCTATCAATATTACAAACCTTTAAATCAGGTCGGCGCAGATCAAAACCAGTTTTAAAAATCAGAAGTTAATATATAATTAACACACTGATTCTAACCACAGCAAACTATGGCAAGTACTGTACTGACCACAGCAAACTATGGCAAGTCCTTAAAGAAATGGGAGCGCCTGATCACCTTATCTACTTCCTGAGAAACCTATATGTGGGACAAGAAGCAACAGTTAGAACTGGATATGGAAACACTGATTGGTTTAAAATTGGGAAAGGAATACGACAAAGCTGTAAATTGTCCCCCGGCTTATTTAACTTATATGCAGAATACATCATGCGAAAGGCCGAACTGGAGGAA